TAACTCCGAACGAGAAAAGATAGAAAGCTAAGATTCTGAGGTTATGTTCCCCGTCCAAATATAACCCAAAGATTTCAAATTCAGCCCCCAGTTTTGTGTGGTTCCCGCGTACAGCCCGTGAAAATGGCTAACTCAAGAAGTAGCAAAGCTGGGGGCTGAATTTTCATGGGATGTTCTCAGCCCATGTGCGACTTAAATTTATCAAATTCAGCCCCTAGGTATGCGCGTTCTCACGTACGGCCCTGTGAAACTTTTTTGGCGGGGAATTGACTAACTCGAGAACCAGATAAGCTGGAAAGCTGAGATTTTAGGAGAATATTCCCCCTTTCAAATACAACTTAAAGGTTTAAAATTCAGCCTCTAAGTACGCGTGGTTCTCGTGTACGGGCACTTAAATTCTTGGCGGGAAAATAGGGTGTGAATATGATCTCAAAATTTCAGCCTCCCTCTTCCCCGGCTGTTGAGTTGAAAGTAGGTGGCAAAGTTTACCCGCTTTCGAACATACAAACACACACGGACGATCTCTCGACAATATGCGTTTTTGCTCGCTAGCAGTGCTATAGCGCTAGCAAAAACGCATAAAAAGGAGGTGGTACATGACCATTAAACGGAAATTGTTCGTTTTGCTTTATGCAAAATATACGATTATTTACGCTGATGAGTACACGAGGTAAATATAAATCAACAACTATTCATACAGTTATCGATCTGAAGTTAAGAACGCATGATTGCACTGACAAACTTGGTGCGTGCCAGCCGGGATTTTTGCTGGGCACTTTTGTAACTTCCATCACACAGGACTTAACTAGCTGAGCAACGAAGCGCTAACAGCAGTTAGCAATTCGCTCATTCGAAGATCTTCCCATTCTGCTAGATTCCAGTTTTCCAGTCAAAAGTGCCATAATCCCAATAAATTACAAAGAGTTTACAACTGTTCCGGCACCTTGAAAATAAGTGAATAATTGAGTTTCGCAGGAAACAAATCTGAGTGTCGCCGAGCGGGCGGCGTTGCTGAAGCGACCGATTGATTTGG